ACAAAAGAAGCTCTTAAGAGTCATTAGCCCCATCACCTGGGAAGCAGGATATGTTAATGGGATTAAACCACAGATATCAAGGCCTAGAAAAACACTCAGAAATAGCCTCAAAGTTCATGCCACAGGAACAGGAAACTATCCCAAGCAGGGCTGGGAGGGGGGTATAAAAAGACCTTCTGCCCATGTGCTCGCTCTCTTTTCTTCTCCTCTGCTGCTTATCTGTCTTCTGCAATAAACTGTAACCTTCTTCCCAAAGCAGTCGCCATGTTTGCTTATTTATTCCCGGCTTGGATGAACCAGGATGAAGACTTACTTCTAACAAGCCCCTTAAGATACCAAAATCCTTTATATATAAACACTAAATGATTCCCCAAATTGGGGCCCACAGCTAACACACACAAGAGATATGTAAGATTATCTCACTCCATAGGGCAGTGATGGCGAACCTTTTAGAGATTGAGTGCCCAAACTGCAACCCAAAACCCACTTATGCATCGTGGAGTGCTGGGTGGGTGTGGCCCATTGGCTGGGTGTGGCCCATTGGCTGGCGTGGCTGCGGTGGTAACGGCAGACTGGGTGGGACTAAAAAGTTCGATCAATTCCAACTTTGCAAGATCTTTTTTTTCCCGCGAGAAGTTGAAATTGACAACCTTTTTTTTTTTGCACATGGCGGAGGCCTAAAGCGAAAGGGTTTTTATAAAATCCAGCTGAAGGCCTAGGGCTGGGGCGACAGCACGCGTGCCCACAGAGAGGGCTCTGAGTGCCGCCTCTGGCACCCGTGCCATAGGTTTGCCACCAGTGCCATAGGGTAAGGAAATGGCACTTTCTTCTCACCAGACTTGGCTCAGTCCTCCCTCCAAGCAAATTACATTAGCATGCTGTACTAACAAAGCCTAAACTTGTCTATAAATATTTTCAAACTTTGCTTTTTGAAATGTCACCTTCAACCACTAAGCGTTTGCATTGCTGTGGAATAAATTATACTTCCACTTCAAGCAGGCATCCTGTTGTCGTTGACCCAGCTCAGAACAGACCAAGAATTTTCTTATAACAGATGGAAAAACATCACGGACAGATTTAGAGCTCACCCAGGGGGTATTTTAATGAGGGTATGGCTCTAATAC